CTCTCTCTCCAACTTCCACATAAATCTCTTCCCTATCTCCCTCACACACTATCTCCCAATCTTCTCTCTTCATCTCACCAACTACCCCAAACTAGCTCCCTCATTCTCACGTGATCTTTATCCCTTCCCAAATCCTTCCAAAAAGATTATTCCTAACAGTGTTTTAAAATGCGGCTGCATCGCCGCATATGCGGCCGCATCATGCGGGATGCGCTCGCATCCGCATCCCGCTCAGGCGCATATGCGCTTTTGACAGATGTGGCCGCATATACACCGCATCAGGCCGCATCCCACATCATGGCCGCATCAGACCACATCTGTTTCCATGAAATTTTTTTTCGATTTTGCCCTCGAGGAGGGGCAAAATGGTCTTTTTTTTTGTTCCAATGTTTAGGAAAACTGTTTGGGGGGTTACTATACCCCCTAATAGACGATTTCCAGCCATTTTTGTGGCTTTTTTTGCATCAAATCGAAGGAAAAAAAAAAAAAAATTCATCCAAATCTTCATCCACTTTAGTGGCTTTTTTTGGCGAAAATTTTTTTTTCATCCAAATCTTCGATTTGGCGGTTGTTTGATACTTGGATGTTCATTTGATGCTTTTATTGTTGATTTGGAGATGTTAAGGTGAATTTGTGATAAGAAATTGGGGATTTCAGAGGCCGTGAAGAAATCGAGCGCTACTTCACAGAGTCGTAACATTTTATTCCTTCTTGTACAATAATACTGTTATACTTATTTTTGGGACAATGTCTTCCTCTCAATCTTCTAGTAACAAAGATCCGGCTTGAAAATATACTAAACTAAAAAATCCGAAAGATAGAAATTGTGTGATATGCTTGCTCTGTGGAAATACTTATATGGGTGGTATTTTTCGACAAAAAGAGCATTTAGCCGAAATTTCTGGGAATATAAGAGCATGCCCACAAGCTACAGATGATATAAAAAATGAGATTCGAGAATATTTGGATAGAGTGAAAAAAGATAAAAAGAAAAGAAAGCAATTACTTGATGATATGCAATTATTTGATGATGTTGATGATGATGATGATGATATGTCTGAAGTTGCTATGAGGCAAAGGGGTACTCATACTCCAACCTCAAGAGAGAGGGTTATAAATATTGGTGGTAGTGCTCAGAAAAGAAAACCTCTCTCTAAGGGGCCAATGGATTCTTTTTTCACCCCTAGCCCAGAAATTGTGGTTCAGAAGAGAGAAAAAAACAAAGCAAACCACAATTGACAATAAATATAAGAAAGAACAAAGCAAGTCGGTATGTAAGTGAATTGCAAAGTGGATTTACATGGCCGGCATTCCTTTTAATACTATAACTCTGGATAATGTTGCATGTATGGTCCAAGCAATTGAACAATATGGCCCAGGACTTATTCCTCCTTCACTACATGAGGTTAGGGAGACCTTGTTGAAGGATGTTGTATTTGATGTGAATAAAATTTTGATTTCTCAGAGAGAAGGGTGGGAAAAATATGGGGCCACTATTATGTGTGATGGTTGGTCCGATGGGAAATCAAGGGCATTCATTAATTTTTTAGTTAACTGCCCAACATGTACTTTTTTTGTTAAGTCTATTGATGTATCAGACAAGTCACATGATGGTATATACTTATCTGGCTTGATGGATGAGATTGTCGATTTTGTTCGGGAGCAAAATATGGTACAAATTATCACTGACAATGGTGCCAACTATGTTACAGCTGAGCATTTCTTGATTTTGAAAAGGAAGTATATGTTTTGGACACCTTGTGCAGCTAACTGTGTTAATCTTATGCTTCAGGAAATGGGTACAACATCTTTATTTAGTGGGGTGATTTCAAGAGGTATGTTTGTTGTTGGATTTATTTACAATCACATCATAGTCTTAAGCATGATGAGGTCTTTTACAAAGAAGAGACAATTAGTGAGACCGGGTATCACTAGATTTGCCACGTCATTTCTCATTCTTCGAAGCCAAGCCAAGCAAAAAAGTGCCTTGAGGACCATGTTTGCTTCAGAGCAATGGAGTCAAAGCAAATGGTCAAAGCATAAGGATGGGAGAAAGGCTGAAAAAATTATTTTGAATACATCTTTTTGGAGTCAAATAATTATTGCATTGGAGGTGGCTCGCCCTTTAGTGAGAGTGCTTCGACCGATTGATGGTGGTACGAAGCCCACCATGGGCTACATACATGAGGCAATGACTAGGGCAAAAATTGAAATAAAAGATGTTTTAAAGGATGATGAAAATATGAGCAAGGCTATGCTTGAAATTATTAATAGGAGATGGGATACCCAGCTTCACAGGCACCTCCATTCAGCCAGTTATTTTCTAAACCCATCTCTTCACTACAAGCACCCATCCATTGAGTCAGATCGTGTAATAAATGGTGGGTTCTTAGATGTGCTTGAGAGGTTGGTGCCAGACAAAGATATCCAGGATGAGATCCAGAGCCATGAATTGATTAAGTTCAAGTTAGCCTTGGGAAACTTTGAGAGAGATATTGCCACTCGAAATAGGGACACTACAGATCCAGGAAAAGGCCAAAAGCCCAAAAATAATCTTACTTGTCTCTTACTTTATGTATAGTTCCATTGTTTATTTTATACCCTTAATTTTTAACTATATTCTAAATTATAAAATATTATACAGCTGCATGGTGGCATAGCATTATATGGAAGCGAGACACCAAATCTACAATGTCTCACTATTTGAGTGTTGAATCTCACATGTAGCTCATCTGGTTGTGAGCGCAATTGGAGTGCATTTGAGCATGTAAGTCCTTTACTCCTCATTCCTTATTCCTTATTTCTTGAATTTCAATTTTCTAATCAAAAATCTAATTTTTCTGATTTCAAATTTCTACCACAGCTCCATACAAAAAAAAGAAATAGGTTGGAGCAGAAAAAGTTGAATGATTTGGTTTATGTGCGGTATAACGAGCGGCTTAGGGAGAGGTATGAAAACCGCACGAAGCTCAACCCTATTCAATTATATGAAGCTGATGGTGATTCCATAAGTGAGTGGACGGTCGATCCAAGACAAGAGTGTGTGTTTGAGGGTGAGGATCTTACATGGCTTGATGTCGAGCTAGCAACAGGTTAATGAAGAAAATCGACCTAACACTAGAGCACAAAGGAGTAGAGGAGCTGCTGGGTCTAGTTGCACTCGCACAGTAGCTTCAAAAGTCAAGGAGGAAGCTAACTCAGAGGAGACCGATGAAGAAGAATACATGGAGGCCGTCG